AAAAAAAAGGCGGGGGGGGAGAGAGAGAGAGAGAGAGAGAGATGCTGGTAGGGGTGGTTGTAGATGAGACCCGCCAGCGTCTGCAGCAATTTGGCCGCTGGCCAGGAGTCATTGTTCACCCTCGGCTGTGGTGGCTCCGTCCAGATGTGCCAACTGCACGTTCCGGCTTTTGCCAGCTGACTGCGCCGTTTGATAACCGGCTCTCTGGATGCCCATCACTGGCCGCAGAGATAGAATTAAATGATGATGATCTTCCCACAAGTTGGGAGAGGAAACAATGCATATAAATCTTGATTTCATCTCAGCGTGAGAAGTCTTTATCCATCATCACTCATAATGAACAAGTCGTTAGCCGCGATGAATGGTGTTCTGTTTTTTTCAAACACCTCTTTTGTTCACTTTTTGGGTGACTTTTATTTATTTCCTGGGGTCAGATTTCTCTTCCCAGAAGGGAGGTGGCTAAAGGATTCACTTAGCTTAGTCTTTAAACTACTTTCCTCCTTCGTGTAACAGATGTTTTACTCTGACCGTTTGAAATTTGGTTTTGCTTTTATTTTGTTACTTTTGCTCAGTAGTTTAGAAATTGAATAGACCTGTCATTTGTTCCTTCAGCTCATACATTAGTTTCTACTTTCTTGGCACTCCTGCTCGGAAACATTTGCAGCAACAGGGTATTTAAGTATCTACGTATCATTTGAGGCTTTTTTAATCATATAAGAACTCATTTGAATTTAGTTTTTGTAAATTATCCATGTGACACCTCACTCTGAGATGTGACCATCATCCCTGCTGTGGATATAACCACGGTCACGACTGGAAACCTGGGTTGTAGGTATGTGATAGGGATACTTACTATACCTAGAGGCATATTTACTTTTGAACGTGCAATTGGGCTTCTTGAAATAGTCAGCGTTGTTCACAGATTGCAGTTCAAGCTCGTGTGTAGATACGTCCAGAATTAGGACCCGCAGTCGCAGGCTCCGTGGGTTGGAATCAGTGCGAGAAGGGTGATGGCTCTAGGGAAAGGTTTCTGCTTGAATCCCCGTATTACTGAATTTCATCAGTGAAATATTTGTTTTATTTTTTTAAATGTTGGTGAGCACTCATAGAGCGCTACTGAAATTGTCGTGTAATGCTGTCACACGGGCGAAGGGGCTTCTCACATTGGGGAATTCTGTATTAAATTGGTAAATCACAGATCAAACTTGTTTGTTAAAATTATCTTCCCTTATCCACACCTTCCCTTATTCCCAATTACTTCCCTTATCCCAAACTCTGATTCGTCAGTCAGCAGACTTTGGGGGGCGGGGGGGTTTGGGAGGGTCTTGCCTGTTGTCTTTAAAACAGCAGAAACTGCAGGGCGGGCAGGGAGCCCCCCGGGTCCCCCCACAGCAGGTTGGAGCAGGAGTTGGGAAAGATTTTGGCATCGTTCTTCATCTCCCACCAGATTGTTCATATCTGAAGTGGATATGCCTCCTACTTTCGTTGGGGGATGCACAGATAAATGGGATTTAAGATCAGACTATTAGCACAGTGCGGTCCTGTGCCGTTGTAGTTCAAGTCATCATTAAGGAGCGGATTAGGATGTCAAAGTTCTGAATAAAAGATAAGACGTAATTTAGGAGAAGCATCCCTTCTCATTCAGCAGTGCTTCCTTTTAAGTTGATTGTTCTGATTTTTAACAAGTATGAACCAAAAATAGACTTAGCGTGTTTATTTAAAGCTTCTGAAATAGTTTAATAAAACTGAAATGCCGGTGAACATATCTGCACATCTTCAGTGTGCCTCCAGACCGGTCTTCACAGGACAAATGAATTTATTATGTTTACAGTTTATGCTGTTTTCAAGTACTTGTGTAAGAAATTGCTTTCCGATCTATTTTCACCACTGACTTCCATGACATTTTTCAAGTTGGTCCTGTGTTTGTAGGAAAATGCAAACCCTGCTTGGCTGTTTTGGGTGGGGAATAAATTGAAGAATGTCTGTTGTGTAGTCGGGAAGGGGATGTTCCAGCACGACCAGGGCTAACAGACTAGGTTATTTTTCTGAAATTACATTATTCGGGCAGTAGTATGGAGCTTATAAGTAGGTTTTTCAGCAAGGAATTGAGTTGCAAGTTCCTGAAAGTCCACACGCCTCGGTCACCTCTGTGAGTCGATGACCTTCTGAGCTTTTCTATTTTTGACTTTTGTTTAGAAGTGCCACTACCACCCTTGCAGCTGCCAGCCCTGGCCCACCTCCTGGAGCATGAGGCTGATAATGACAGAGAAAATTTCTCTTGACGAAGGGTCGCACACAGCCCGGGTTTCCGCAAGTTCTGTTTCAGCACATGCACCGGCGTTCACGTAGCTGTAGTGTGAATAATAATAATATTGATGGGTTTGTTTCAAAATCCCATTTGTCAAGAAGACTAAAGCTGAACAAAGAGTTTTCACTGGAATTTAACTTCAAGCCAAAGATTATTTGTTGCAGGAAGATACAGGTCGGGAGAAGGAGATAGAAGTCGGATACAACCTTTGTTTCAGAGCAGCATGAAAGAAATGGAAGCAATATTCTGATTGTGCCTAGCTCTGTTCAGATGCTGTGTTAGGTAGAATTATTGCAAACTACTCAAGCTGTTTCACATGCCTTGCCGTTTTCCTTGAGTGGTGTCACAAGGCTTTTGCCTTAGAGGTATGGGCTGTGACCAGTTTTAAGTAATAATTTTTGAGCCAGTCAAAGGAAGCGCAGGGGGTAAAGTCACCCGGGCATTCCCGCAGGGACCCGCGGCCCCCAGGTCACTGTGCAGAGGACGGGGCCGGGATGCGGCGGTGCTGGGGGAGCCGCCGACCTGTCCCACGCCGGGGGTTAACGGGAACCCTGCATCATCTCCTGCCACGTGCCCAAATAACCGGCTGCAAGGAGGACGTGGGAATGGCGGCAAGTTTGGGAAAAGCCTGTAACAACCCGGCAGTGCTGCATACTGGGGAAGATAAATCTGCAGAGGAAATTGTTGAGGCAGATGTTTAATTAGTTGGAGTCAGGCTGGATAAATCAGGATAGGAACTGTCTATGCAGATATACTGGTGTGCCTCCCTTTTCTCTGGGCTGGTTTCATTGTCTTTAAAAACTAACTGTTCTTCTTGCTTAGGAAAGAAGCAGCAAAAAGAGTCTTACAGCCTCTGTGTTATTGTAATGGGTTCCCTTGTGTACACTCATAAAATAGAAAATGTAATTGATGTTTTCTTACGGTAATGAAAAATAACTAAGCAGAATACTTTATCATCAATTTGTTTAACCTATTGCGTGCTCAGCAGCATGTATTGCACATGCATATTTTACGTAAGAGCTGGAAATAACACAGTCTTGGTTGTGGAATGAGGTCTCGGAGGAGCCCGGTCTAACCCAGCGATGGACCACCTTGAGGGAGGCTCGGTGGCATCGCTCAGCAGGAGAGCTTTCTCAAAACAGCCAGAACGGGGGAGAAAGAGGCCGAGGATGGGGAGATACCCCGACCGGGCCGGCGGGTGATGGACCATCCTCACCTCGCCAGCGAGGAGAGAGGAGCCGAAAGCTCCTTCTGGCAGCGCAGGGCCCTGCCGCGCGCGTCAGCCGGCCTGGGCAGCGCCGAGACGCTGCGGCAAAGCCCCCTGGAGAGCCCCAGCATCCAGAGATAGTCCAGGGTCTGCTCTGCATCAACTTGCCAGGTCTAGATCTCTTCAAGACTGGTTTTGAACATTGTGAGCACTCCAGCAGCTGATGGTTTAAATATAAAATTGGTCTGCAGTGTGGCAGATCTACAGAAAGGGAATCACATGCTTGAAATCATGAGCATAAGAACTTCATGTTCTCCCTGAATTTATCAGGGAAAATGTCAGATGTGGTGCTTCCTGGGGTTTGGACAGATATAATAATGAAGTCTTGAAAAGCCTTT